GTATCTATCTATCCATCCATTCATCTAGTATCTATCCATCCATTCATCTAGTATCTATCCATCCATCCATTCATCTAGTATCTATCCATCCATCCATCCATCTAGTATCTATCCATCCATCCATCTATTATCTATCCATCCATCCATTCATCTAGTATCTATCCATCCATCCATTCATCTAGTATCTATCCATCCATCCATTCATCTAGTATCTATCCATCCATCCATCTATTATCTATCCATCCATCCATTCATCTAGTATCTATCTATCCATCCATTCATCTAGTATCTATCCATCCATTCATCTAGTATCTATCCATCCATCCATTCATCTAGTATCTATCCATCCATCCATCCATCCATCTATTATGTATCAATCTATCAATTGATAGTTAGCAAGTAAAGGTCTCTCTGAATAGAGGCAATATTTTTAACTAATGATAAATCTATTACACATAAGAACTATAAGAACTATTGATTAGTATATCATGTATATTTAATACAGTGGATGTTTTGTTTATAGAAATACCTTTGTTGTATATATGTACAGAACTAAAATACAATGTCAGTCAACATGTTAGTTAGTTTGAATTTAAATTGATTAGTTATTAAACTTTATCTTACTAGTGTGAATTCTCAGAATCCCAGGTTGACTAACCAATTTTAGGCGAGAATTTTCTGGTACAGGATTATGGATACAGTAGAAAATAGTAGAAGTGTCCAGAGATGTATTGTGTATTAACTGCTATTTTCTACTGTATCGATAATCCCATACCATACACCACATTGGACACCATCTGTTCTGGTTTTACAGTGGTCTGTGGTGTATTTAGGAGATGGGGGAGGCATGTTCCCCCAACCCCCCTACAAAAAAAAAATTGAAAAATACCCTCCTCAGGTATAAAATTGAAAAATTGATTTTACTTTGACTACATAAATCACATTAAGATGTATTCTCCACCTTCCTAGACTAGTACCCCTCGAAAATCCAAAAGGGGAGCTGATGTGCTCGGATGGCCCGACACCCGTCAATGAAATCCTGTTTACGCCAATGTCAGTGGTCTTAGAGAACATATTAGTCTCTTATTGGCTGAGTTGTAGAATGAAAAAGAACCTAAAAAATTCATGTTGTTGTTACTCAGAGTTTCGTACTATGCGATCTACATTTTAGAGACACGTTTGTTTAAAGAAGTGTTCTTTGGGGGTATTAATGATGAATAGCTTTTCAGTTAGACACATGTTACATTGTTCAGTTTTGTATGAGTGGGCTTTAGCTCTGCTATCAATGAATCAGGATATTTTGTAATTTTTATTTTTCTGTTTAAGTTGCCAAATGTGCTTGGAGAGTTTGGTGCTATTTTCATTTTTTTATGTTTAAGCGACTGTAAATGGTTGTAATATCTTTGTTTAAAAGTGTTTTCAGTCAGTCTCTGATAGATTTCTACATAGATTTACTATATTGATTAATCTATTAAGACCAGATATCTTCTCATTAACTAAATATTGTTATAATCAACTTTATTTTATATTCTTTTATTTCTTCAGCAAGGTAAACTTTTCTCTTCTTTAGATTCTCGAGAATGTTGACCAAGTCTTTATGTTGGAGAAAGAGATAGTTATCTTTATACTCTTTCAATGTAGAATACTATTTTTAATCACCTCCTTCTTTCCGCTCTATTCTCTGTTGGGCATCAATAAGCCATCTTCACAATGTCAAGCTATTATAAACTGCATCTAATACCTTGACATCCATGGGCACTTTTCTTGTATCATACTATTTTATTTACTAGTGTAATACAAAAGCCATAATGTCTACAGACTTCATGTCAAAGGCTCTGATTCACTGAAACCAGTCAAAATCACTGCATTCTGTGATACAAGAAAAGAATTCAATGAAGTTCATACCCTGGGGCCACAAAACTTTGTTCATACCTAGCAGAGATTTTACTCAAATTTGAGTAACTGCATAACTGATTGTATCAAAAAAAATTCAAACTATTACTTAAGGCAAAATGTTTCTGGCATTATCATATTAATCTTTAAATTTTACCTTTTCTTGATGTGAGAGGCATTAAGAATTTGAGTAAAAACTAAGCTAGGGCCATGTATTAGAGGCAGTTTGTAATAGCTTAACATTGTGAACATGCTTACCATTCAATTTTCTATGATACAGCTTAGAAATTCTTAGAAATACTTATAAATCAATCAGCAAGTTAGAGAGTAGAGATTTAAGAGATACATGGTTTTGTTAGGAAGGAAAAATGTAACAATTAGACAATTCTAGACTAACTATTAGCTGTAATGATACCATTATTTTCTATAATATGTAGTTGAAGATAATAATTTGCAGAGATTAGAACTAATCTGTTTGTATACAGTTATACTTTAGATATTTAGCGATGATGACCACAAAAATTTCAGATAAAGCAGATTTGTAAAAAAAAATTTAAATACATAAGTACATTTTGCTTCATATAACAGTTTTAAATATGGTTGTCAGACATTTTGTTTTTTTGCCTTGAGATGTGAAGCATGCTGCTAGATATACCCAATCTTAAGGCCTACAGTAAGGCCAGACCAATTTTTTTCTTGTTTTATAGATCCTCTGGTCTAAATTTTCCAGAAATAGAAAAAAAACCGTCCTGATGAAAAAATAAACACCATCAGAAACTTTCATTATTAATAAAAAATATATGAAAGTATAAGAAAAGTAGAAAAATCTTGACTAGTCCTGACTTCCATAAGACTTGTTTTTCCCTGCCTTTACAGGTTTTTCCAGAAAAATCCTTTAAACAAGAAAATAAATTGGTTTGGTCTAAAGGCAAGAAAAGTATGCACAGCTGCACATGATTACAAAACTACAATGTCAAGTCTGTAGCAGTTCCTATATTGAATCCTCAACCACCATCAAAAAACATCTTCTAATACAATTTTACAAGGTCAATACTAAATGTTTTATCTCCAGGAATGTTCTAAAGAAATTCTGAAGTTGCCAAATATTGACCGATGTCTCTAAAGTTCTGATAGTACACAATAAAAATAGGATGTGTCTGTTTTACCTCAAGTAAAAGAATTAGTATAGATTTCTTGTCAAATTTAGGTGATGTACAAGTCTCAAAAACTTTCTTACCATTTCGATGAAGATAAGTGTAAATTTGACTTAACGCCAATGTAATAAAAACCAGATTTCTCTGACTTTGTACTTTTATTCAAGAGAGTATTTATGAACCTAGCACCATATTCTCGAATGTCCTAGGTTCTCAACCTCTTAAATTCTAGGATGTCCTTGCGCTAAGATTGTTTTGAGAATACTGACTCAGTGTTTCTACCATTTTGAATTTTTTTTTCATTAAGCGTCAATACAAATTTTTTGGACAATATGGTCCAAAATGAAGTTATACAAATTTGGTTTTGATGTTGAAATGATAAACCTTAGTGTGAAGTCAAAATTTTTAAAAATCATAAGGATGACTTGATTAGGTTGATTATAATATTATTACAAGCTTAACAAAATTATTTCACCAGATGAGCTCAATTTCAGCTGGATCAGTATTACTAAAACATATCAAACTCTTTAAATTAATTAAAGATGTATTCCCTTATTTTCATTTATGAAGTTGAAAATGCTAATACTTATATGAATAAGTAGAGGTGTTTTATTGATTTGGAAAAATAACAGTTTGTTTAATATGTCAATAATTAAATCATAAGTAAATTAGAAGAGATTTACCAGCAGAATTCAAATCAAGAAAGGTCAAATAGTCTTTGTTTGTTTATCCAGACTGTATATACATGGACATTTATGATGAATTATATGCGATAAGAACATAATGATATGATTAAGAATACATGATAATTCATTAGAAGCACCAATTACTCATATAATTTGCTTAATTTGACACTAAATAATAAGGAAACCTATCTTTAAAGCCTGAAAGATACAGAATTAAGCTTTTGTATTTCAACGACTGTATACCTTATTGCGTTTAAAATTCTACAGTTCCTGAAATTATAACAGAATTTAAAGAGTGTAATTTACTATATCTGATGAGATAATGGACGAAATTTATAACTTTTTTGACTCATACACGTAACAAATCTTATTCAAAAAAAAAAAAATCTTAGAAAATAAATGAACAAAATATTCAAGGCAATCCATCTTTAAACATTATAAATTTGGTTAACTAATAGATTGATCAAGTAGTAATTCAAAGTTTAAGTGTTGACTTTAATTGATTTCATGACCAAAATATTTATACTCAAGTTATATTGTTTTATTAAGTATCTTGAAACATGATATCTCATCAGAGTTATGAAACCTCTGATAAAATTTAGACAATTCTTGTAGAAATTCGTAAAATTCCCAGTTTGGTTAATAACGTATTCTATGGATGACCACAATTTATCAAGTTTTATTGCGTTACACTATTCCCTGTGGATCTGGTAGGAAAAAAACAATTACCGATATTGACGTCTGCAAAGAATTTGTGTATTTAAAAATCAGGAGAGTTCCAATACTTAATCCTCCCAGCTGGATTGGATCTGGCAGTTCGCAGTCTCATCAGAGTTCTTGGCACGGCAGATCAATAGACCAAAATTCATAGCCCACGTCTTTTATACTAGTCAAATGTAATTTGTAGCCAGTGATATTGAAGCAAGTAGTAAGCTGTGTTGAACTGAGTAATGGGACATTGATCAATATTTTGAGATTCAGTAGCAGTAACAGATCATAGTAGATCTATAATACACCAGTTAACTATAATGAATGAATCTCATCGTTAAACATGAAAGGGGTGAAATTTGTTAATGCTCGCTGGTGGGTGTTTAAAAATGATACTAAATTATTATGTTATCCCTTTGGATTATCACTGTTTTCGGTAAGTGGATCCATTTATGGAATTTTCTACATTTTGATATTTTTAACGAAATTAAGTTTGTATATTTGGTCAGCTAATTGCTAGTTTTAAAGGAAAAAAAAATTGTTTCATATTTCTTAAAAAAAAATTTCTTTATGTTTGATATTTTTTGGAGAAGGGGCCATAATGATAAGAAATCTTGAATCTCAAGTTTTATAAGTGGGTTAAAAAGTTTTCTAAAAAATTTTGGCTGCTTATCACCTGACAGTTATATGCCTCCCCTGTCATCACCCCCACCCCCTTTCAATGAAATTTCAAATGTGAATAGATTGGGAATTAATCATTTGTGTACTGGAATATCTTACTATAATATTAGTGGTATTTGGTTTCAGGTAAAGGTATTCGTAATCATGATTGTCAAGATTCCTTAAAGATATTCTTCTTTGTATGACAAGATTTGTCATCTAAATCCATGATTATTGTGGAACTTGTTTTTTTTTGCCCTTTTTATCTCATAATGAGATGGTGGCAATCCTGTATTGGTTTAAAGGGACAGTTGCAGCATTTTGGGGGGTGGATTTTAGTCTTGAAAATATGTAAATACTCTTCAGAAGACTAAAATGGACGAAGAGTATTGGGCAACTGTCCCTTTAATTTTTGTATCTATTGTTTTCTAATGCAACTGTAGATTAGTTTCTGCCAATAACAACTATAAATTCCAATAAACACCATTTTTTTCGTTTCAATTCTATGAGCACATCTGGAGGTTGTAGATGAAATTATCAATTTGTATCAGGGATGGTAGATAAGTTCTATAATCTAATCAATGAAAATTAAATTATTCCAAAGTTTGCCTTCAACAAAGATCTTAAAACCAATCAAATCTCTATTTATCTGGCTTTGTTTTTTTTATTGTGATTGTGTTTTTTTGTAACTTTTTTAATCAGTTCTGTGTTAAATTGAATTTCTTTGAAAATTGTATAACAAAGATAGATTTTTGTTTTAACTTCATTTTGGAATGGTGGTTCAGAGGAACTCTTATTTGATTTCTTATTTCAATACAACAGATCTCTATTGTTTATTTTGAAAAGAATAAGAGGTGAAAACAGAATGAAATTGTGAATATTGCGTAAAAAATTCAAGATAATTCATTAAGTACTTAATATGGCTTTTATCAATAGTTTTGGTGATAATACTTTCATATTGTTTATGAAAATATGCAAATTGGGGAATGTGGTCATCCTGGGCTTCTAAATTATCTTGTGAAGGTAATGGTTCCATTTGAGCTTGCTCAGTCTTATTGAATTTACAATGTGCAAGATCTGTTTTGAGTTTTATATAAATTTGTTGTATTCAAATTGATGTAACAACACATCAGATTGTGTTCTTTCTCTAAAACGAAGAAACAAAATCCATGTGACTTGTTACATGGTCATTCATTCTACAAATTGTATTATTTGTTATTATTCTTTGTTGTGATTTTGTTATTATGTTACAATGTAGTTCTTACAGTTGCTATTATACAATGTTGTATCAAACAAGAGGTTAAAGGTCATACATATTAATATTTATAATTAATACAATATAAGATGATATTATGATATAAATGAATTAACACATCTAATATATAACTGATTCACTGTAATAATCAAATAAAATTGATTGATAGCAATAAGTGCAGAAAAGTAAGTACCAAAAAGTAAATACTGTTCAGTAATTACTGGAAAAATAAGTACCGAAAAGTACGTACTAAAAAGTAGTTAATAAAAAGTAAGTACTAAAAAGTAATCACTAAAAAAGTAAGTACTGAAAAACAAGTAATGAAAGTAAGTACTAAAAAGTAAGTAATGAAAGTAAAGTATTCTGTGGACGTAGTAAAACCAATATCTCCAGCTATCAGCGAAATCGTAGATCTACAATAGAAATAGCTGTTTTCTGATGATAGGTAAAAAAAACTATTTGTCTTCATTGCTTGTCGATTCCACGTCTCAAATTTGCATATTCTCACAAAAATACTCAATAAAGATGTCTGATTTTCGAATCTTCAACAGACATACATCTTACAGTAAAGAACAAAATAGTTTGTGAATTTTAATCTGGACTTTTTATTTAATATAAAGTCTTGAATTACTTTGTTTAGCTCAAAGATTTTCTGACTGCTCTGCATAAACATGGACCCTGTTAGATAAAGGGCAAAGCAGGGTCAGGCATACTTACTCTTCCAAAACACCTGATACCACTTTGCTACTGGTATTAGGGGGTGAAAGTCGACACTTTCGGAAGCACTGGCACAATCATAAAAATTGTTCTTACCTTGAGGAGGATTTGAACCCATGGCACCTAATCACCTAGCAGATGACAAATCCATCTGACTACCGCTACTAGGTTAGTTAATGCAGCAACCTCTTTAGAGAGTCTACATTGCTAATATAAGTAATTTGATATATTTGTAGTAAGCAATGGCGTGTACTTAATTTTCTCTTGTCAACTAAGTACACGATATAACCAAAGTTTTTTATTTCTGAATGTCTAGACCGTTGTCTTTGAGGAAATTCTCCTGATGAGGTCAAAACTCAATTAAGACACTTCACAATGTTGTATGACATTAGAATATTTATAGGAAATTTTCCTCTTACAAGATTATCTTTCTATGTATAGTGAGTTACAAATTTGAAAATAATCTAGATTGGGAATATTTTTCTGCTTTATGTTATCCCAGGGAATTTATTATTCCTGATATTCTTCAGAAATATGGGAATTAATGGGAGAATTTGCATTATAATTCAGACATTTTTCATCAGAAGAAGATGAACAATCGATGAAATATAGACAATGGAAACTCATACTTCAAGCATTATTGCACAAGAAACATAAAGTTTGAAGAATTCATAACAAGAAACATGAGGTTTGAAGAATTCATAACAAGAAACATGAGGTTTGAAAAATTCACAACAAGAAACATAAAGTTTGAAAAATTCACAACAAGAAACATAAAGTTTGAAAAATTCATAACAAGAAACATGAGGTTTGAAGAATTCATAACAAGAAAAAAGTTTTGAAGAATTCACATCAAGAAACATAAGTTTTGAAGAATTCACATGAAAAAGATCAGGTTTGAAGAGTTCACGACAAGAAACATGAGGTTTGAAAAATTGACAAGAAAAAAAGTTTTGAAGAATTCACATCAAGAAAAATAAGGTTTGAAGAATTCACTTAAAAAAAATATAAGGTTTAAAGAATTCACAACAAAAAACATAATGATTGAAGAATTCACAAGAACCATTAGGTTGGAAGCAAACTGATGTTTTATTTGTAATGATAATTTGATATATGATATCTGGTTTTGTCATTTGCAATGTTTGTAGCTCAATATGATTTCACTTTCCCAGTTCATGCTTGTTCAAAATCTAGTAGATTTATGCATTACTATGAGTTATAGGCATTTTTTTTTAGCCCCCTTCTGCACCCACTAGAAGAAGTTTATGAAGACCTCTGCTGGTTGACTGGAATAATAAAGAAAATTGTTCACATGCACACTGAGCTTTCCCACCTTTACCATACATTTATTCTTTGAATTATCTGTAGCAGCTGATAAATTGGAGTAATGAAGAAAGATTTTCCTATGACTGAGCTTAGAAAAATATGGACTTCACCCACCAGTTGGGATCTTGGTAATCATACATTGATTTTGTGGATTATCTGTATCCATTCATTGACTGAGATTAGCACCTACATAATAAATCTAATGATGTCAAGATACAACGCTCTTACTGACTGAACTACAGTCTGCACTTCGTGTAGCTAGGCAGTAAATGAATTTACAAGCATTAGAATAGTTATATTCACTTGTTATTGATTCTAACCACAACAACTTAATGGAGTTATTCCATTCAGACATGTTCTTATCTCTGCTTCATTGATATTTTTCACTGATTTGACTCAATTTGAATAACATTCTACAGAAAAAAAAACAACTTGTACCTAATTAACCATATCTTTCTAGAATGTGGGCCGAGATGTTAAACAAACTTGAACGAGGTCTAATTGGTATTTTCTGGAAGTGGTAGAATTTAGAATCTGTTTTCACTGCAACACGTGTTCTTTCTGATGCATAAAATCTAACCATATTTTTTGTGCTTGTATTTAAAGGGACATGTTCAATCTTTTTCAGGAGTTGATGTGGGTATTGAAAATATATATGTTGTCTTCAGAGTTCTTTTAAAAATACCTCAAACTAGGAATTTCACATTCTATTTCTATATATGTTTTTTCTATATATGGCAGAGTCTCAAGAAGAGACAAGTCGTATTTTTAACTTTCACACTTGGATTTGAAGGCTCAAATATCGATGGTGTGCTGCAAATACTATAACTGATCAGCTTAGCTAAAATATACCTGTTTCTGAGACTAAAGTATGATTGGTCAAACAGATGGCAAACCTCTCCCTTTAATGTGATACTACGTCTTAGAATGAACATAAAATTTAATTCTCAAGAATGGTCAATATGAGTATATATTCATCAGTGAACTTACCTGGTGTCATAAATTTACAACAGAATCCTTGTGAAATCTAGAAAATTGGAAAATTCATAAAACTAAGTAATCATTGAAATACGCTTAATCTTGATATTAAGCGATTTTCAATAGTTAATTGCATAGTTTTTTGGATTTATCGGATTATATAAGGATCCTGTTATGTTATTTATGACACCAGGTATATATACTGGCTCTTTTTGGCCAAGTTTAAAATTTTTAAATTTTATTTTCATTCTAAGAAGTATCATTTTAAGTATAGGATAATGACTGAAGTTTTTTTTACTGAGTTAAAAAAGCCTGATTAAGAAAAAAAGAGGTCATAGAATAGCCTAAGGTGAAGCCCTTTTATCTCTGTAAGGTTGTTCCCTTGCCCTGACATATAACGATGTACATTTCACATGAATAATATTGTTTGTGTCCACTCTTGCTCCCCAAATAATACAAGTACAAATTGGAGGATATTGTCAGTTAAACTAAACAACTAT